TATATATATATTTAAAAAGCGAAGAGCCATAGATCCCCAGGACTGCCATGACTTGGTCCAGCCTGTTCCTGAAGCCTGCCAAGCTGGTAGCCAGCACCTCACCTTGTGGTATGTTTCCCTTCTCTCCCGACTGTTCAGAATCCTGCAAGATGCAAGTTTTCCTTGATGTGCTCAGAGCTTTTGCAAGCCAGCAACCTTTCAGCATGCTTTGGCTCACGTCCTCGGTGGTAGCCACGTTGTCTTCCAGCCAGCGAGAGGATGCAAGGCGGTCATTGGAAGGCTTCGTTACAAAGAGGAGGGAGGCCCCACTGCCTTTGCCTAACCGGTATGCACGCTACTCACGTAGGATTCTGTAGTCTCGCTGACCCTTGAAATGGGACGCTTTTCTTTCTAGGTAGCAAAGCATCTGAGTTTTGCCTGCTCTCTGCCCTCCACCAAGACCTTCCTGTCTTCTCCCCGGTACCTGTAATGAGCCAGTGCTGCATTCAAGCCGCTAGCCGAGATCGTCTGAAAGCTGGGCCCCTTGCAGTGTGTCTCTTGCCTATGGAAGAAGAAAGGACACCTGGTATTCTGTGACCGGATTCCCACCTTGCATTGAAACAAACCATAGCTTGATCATGGTTTCTCAAATAACCTCCCAGCCGCTGGGTTGCATAGTGTGCTAAGCCAAAACAAAACAGTCCATATTATACTTTGGTGCAATGAGTTAACGGAGCCAAGTTTCTTACTAGGGTTGTGCGATATGCCCTAGCTGGTCTGCATCATTGATTCAAAATGTAATCTCCTATTGGTTCAAGAGAGTTCTCTGATTGGAAATATCAGAATAATTTGACTTCGATTGACAGTTCAAAGTGTCAAGATGCCAACTGATTTGTTGAATCAATCTGGGACAAAATCTCATAATTTTGCACAGGAGCACCTGATAAATAATAAATTCAATTTGGTGAATGGGTGCAATCATTCAGCTAATGTTTTAACTGACTATCTAGATCAGTGTTTCTCAACCTTGGCAACTTTAAGAGGGGTGGACTTCAACTCCCAGAATTCCCCAG